CTAAATAAAATACAAAATAGGGTTGGGATATGGCTCAGTGGTTGAGTGCCCCTGAGTTCAACCCCTGAACCCCAGTCCTATCCTTAAAAAAAAAATTATTTTGTCTCACTTCCTATTTTTTTTTTTAACTAAATTACAATTCTCTAACCATTAAGGATTATTTTAAAGTCTTTATCCTGCTTTTCTTAAATACTATTTTCAAAATTTCCTTTTTGTTACATAGTCTTCTTAATGATCATTTATAGTCATTAATTTTTTATATAATGGACTGATCATAATAGGTGAACATGTGGATGCTTCAGGATTTCTCTATCCTAAGTAACAATGTAGTGAAAATGATGTTTAATTTTGATGCAAAGCTGACCATACGGTTACTCCTAATTCCCATTATGTATTTTCTTGTTCTTATAAAGAAACCCATTATTAGGATGAAAAAATGTATATTAGCATAGAAAACAATAAGGATGTAAATAATTTTGATCAATTACAGGAGAAGGAAGATTCATGAATATTCTTTTTTTTAATATTCATTTTTTAGTTGGACACAATATCTTTATTTATTTTTATGTGGTGCTGAGGATCAAACCCAGGGCCTCACATGAGCTAGGCGAGCACTCTACCGCTGAGCCACAACCCCAGCCCCAAATATTCTGTCTTATTTAAATCATCTCTTATTTAAATCATCTCTATATTGTATTGGGTATCATTTGGGTTTTAGTTAATTTGTTCCTTAGATAGTACTGTTTTTAAAATGTCAGCTGGTTTGTGTTCCATAAATTAAGATAGTAATTCATTTTATTTCACAATAAACAGTATCAAGTTTCTATATCCTCAAGGTCTCTGTAAGAGAGTATTTCAGTTGTAAACCAGTGAGAGACATGCCAGAGCACAAGATGAGAAATGGGAATCACTGTGGGCTATTAATACATAGAATAGAGTGGACCTTGGTTAAGCCTTGTTGATTGGTCCTGTATGTTTCTAGGGTAAGATGAATTATGTGATGACAGCCCTGGGGTTTGGACTCCAGGGAACAAACAGAAAAACTGCTAGTTGTTGGGGTGTTGTAGGCATTAACCCAATTTGATTTAAAGATGCAAACCTTGATGAGGGCAAAGATCATAATTAGTTTTCTGTGCCTTCTTGACAATGTTCAGTGATTTGTTAAATAAGTTTAGCAATGCATATGAACTCACAGAAGTCTTTAGCTTTGAAATTAGACATAGAAATGACACATAAGGCTGGGGCCTTATGTGTTAACAAAAAGCACATTTTTCTCTTATTTCATTCAAGTGAAAAGAGTTGGTGATAACAAAAATGGAAATTAATACTACCCAATATCTCATATCTGATGTGCCAGTTGCCTTTCCTGTATTTTCTCTAATCTTTGCAACAGTTTTTTTTTTTTTTTTAAGAGAGAGGAGAGAAAGAATTTTAATATTTATTTTTTTTAGTTTTCGGCGGACACAACTTCTTTGTTTGTATGTGGTGCTGAGGATCGAACCCGGGCCGCACGCATGCTAGGCGAGCGCGCTACCGCTTAAGCCACATCCCCAGCCCCTTTGCAACAGTTTTTGAGAACCATCTTCCCAGAGTAGAGACTGAGGCTCAGAGTATATAGTTAACCTATTCAAGATGATATAACCAAGTTATTGACAGAATGCTGATTGTTCATTCTCTGACCTCTAGAATCAACCTATTGCTACAGAAGAAAAATCAAAGAAATTCAAGAAGAAGCAACAGGGGAAGCGCAGGAGCCAGGGTGAAATCACTAAGGAACGAGAAGATGAATGTTTCAGCTGTGGGGATGCTGGTCAGCTCGTCTCCTGCAAGAAACCAGGCTGCCCAAAAGTTTACCATGCAGACTGTCTTAATCTGACCAAGAGACCAGCAGGTTGGTACAAGAGTCCATTCGTAGTTCTGTTTGTTCTCTGCCAGAATTCTCAGAGTTTGATGCCAGTTGCTTTAATGTACAACAAAGTGCCATTTGGTTTGTTTGTGTAAAGTGCTGAGGGTTGTGGTCCATGTTTTCCTTCTGGAAATATGTGACAACAAAGTCTTAGAATCCTAGGCTATAGAGAAGGGAACAGAATGTGGCTATGGGTCAAATACTTTACTTCCATTTACAGTTGGTTTTCTTCTCATAATGAGCATGATGAAACAGATTTACTTTTGGTGAGATGACATGTTTCAAACAATTGAAGGCGGGCTGCAAGTATGGTTCAATAGAAGAGCTCTTACTTACCTAGCACATACAAGCCCCTGATTTGATCCCCAGCACCAACAAAGAAAAGAAAGTTAGGGATGAAGGAGCTGAGTGGAAAGGCAGGTTTTCTGACTTCAAAGCCACTAAGTCATATAATCTTTCCAGAGAAAGAAAGATTGAGAACAAAGTAGAGCCTTTGTGTTGTTCCATGTAAGATGACATGACATCCTTTTAGCCAGTCCATGCCCCACTCACCCTTACTAGGGTCCTTCTTCCTTATGAAAAAGACTTTTTCCTTGAAAAAAATTTTGATTAACAGTTAACATGATAAAGCTTCTCAGGCAAATGCCTTGCCCAGGAATTTATGGTTGGAGAAGTTAATAACCTTTGGGCAGTGATTTGGTATTTGAGAATTTAAGGGAAAATTTAGACATGTTGACTATTTTAAAGGTCCAAAGAGAGAGACCAGTAGAGAGCCATTTTATGGTGAGGCAGTTATACATGACTATGGGCTTGCTTCCAAGAAGTACGAGAAAAGTAGAGAACTTTGAGTCAGTTACTCAGGGTGGTAACAACACATGATAGAATTGATTTTGCCTGTGTGCTAACAGTGAAGTCTAGCAGCACAGTTTATTTGTGGGTTGGAACACTGTCCATAGTCAAGTCTCTCAGGTTTCATGAAATGGGGATAAGTATAGATGGAAGCTCAGGTTAGCTTTGAATCTTTTCTACTTGCCATTCAGACAACACAGACCTAAGTTTTGTGTAGTTTCAAGACTTAGATTTAACAAAGGTAAGTGTACTTCCTTTTTTTTTTTTTTTTTGCATCTGTATATCTTTTTCCTATTTCTGTTAAATAAGTAGGAGTATAAATAGCTGTGATGTTCCTCTTGGAGTTGAATATTTTTAAGCTGTTGAGACAAGTGGATTTTGCAAAACTATGAAAGTAATATCTAAACACAATGTCTAAGAAGAGATTTGGGGTTTGGTTGGTTTTTTTTTTATTCTTTTTCTCCTTGTTGGAAATAGTCATAGAGATATGGATTTACTCCTGCTTGTATTTAGTTGCTGCTTAGTTGCTCAACCTTGATACATTGCTGTTATTTTATGTATTGTTTTGTGCAGAAGAGGAAGCTGAAATTCTGGGGAAGGAGTGATGGCAGGTGAGTGGCATGAATTCCCTGAAGAACTGGCAGTTTGAAGGAGGCTTTGCAGTCAGTCACTCCTGTGTACCAGTCCCGGGGCCACAGCCCATCTCACATGCATCTCTTTTCCCTAAGCTTTGTTCACTCCTGTGTTTTCAGGGAAGTGGGAGTGCCCTTGGCACCAATGTGACGTCTGTGGGAAAGAAGCAGCCTCCTTCTGTGAGATGTGCCCCAGCTCTTTTTGCAAGCAGCATCGGGAAGGGATGCTCTTCATTTCCAAACTTGATGGGCGTCTGTCTTGTACTGAACATGACCCCTGTGGGCCCAACCCTCTGGAACCTGGGGAGATCCGTGAGTATGTGCCTCCCCCTGTGCCAATGCCTCCAAGCCCCAGCTCACGCCTGGCAGAGCAATCATCAGAAATGGCTGCTCAGGGGCCCAAGATGTCAGATAAGCCACCGGCTGATGCCCATCAGACGCTGCCACTCTCCAAAAAAGCTTTGGCAGGGACTTGTCAGAGGCCAGTGCTATCTGAAAGACCTCTGGAAAGAACTGACTCCAGCTCCCAGCTTTTAGATAGGGTCAGAGACCTTGCTGGATCAGGGACCAAATCCCAGTCCTTGGTATCCAGCCAGAGACCACTGGACAGACCACCAGCAGTGGAAGGACCAAGACCTCTGCTATCTGACAAACCCTCTCCAGTGACCAGCCCAAGCTCCTCACCCTCAGTCAGGTCCCAACCACTGGAAAGACCTCTGGGGACAGCTGACCCAAGGCTGGATAAATCCATAGGTGCTGCCAGCCCAAGGCCCCATTCACTGGAGAAAGCCCCAGCCCCAACTGGCCTGAGACTTCCACCGACAGACAGACTGCTAGTCACCAGTAGTAGTCCTAAACCCCCAACTTTCGACAGGCCCCCAGACAAATCCCATGCCTCTTTGTCCCAGAGACTTCCACCTCCTGAGAAAGTACTATCAGCTGTGGTGCAGACCCTGGTAGCTAAAGAAAAAGCACTGAGGCCCGTGGACCAGAATACTCAGTCAAAAAACAGAGCTGCTTTAGTGATGGATCTCATAGACTTAACTCCTCGCCAGAAGGAGCGGGCTACTTCTCCTCATGAGATCACACCACAGGCTGAGGAGAAGGTGCCTGCATTGGAGTCCAGCTCGTGGTCTGCCAGCAAAGGTCTGGGGCATATGTCTCGAGCTCTGGATAAAGGCAGTGTGTCAGATCCTCTTCTCCAACCATCTGGGAAAACAGCACTCCCTTCAGAGCACCCCTGGCAAGCTGTTAAATCACTCACCCAGGCCAGACTTCTTTCTCAGCCTCCTGCCAAGGCTTTTTTATATGAGCCAGCAACTCAGGCCTCAGGAAGAGTTCCTGCAGGGGCTGAGCAGACCCCAGGGCCTCCCAGTCAAGCACCAGGCCTGGTGAAGCAGATGGCCGGAGGTCAGCAACTACCTGGATTTGCTGCCAAGAGTGGGCAGTCCTTCAGGTCTCTTGGGAAGGCCCCAGCCTCCCTCTCCACTGAAGAGAAGAAGTTGGCAACCACAGAACAGAGTCCTTGGTCCCTGGGAAAAACTTCATCAGGGGCAGGGCTCTGGCCCATAGTGGCTGGACAGACGTTGGCGCAGTCTTGCTGGTCTGCTGGAAGCACACAGACATTGGCACAGACTTGCTGGTCCCTTGGAAGAGGGCAAGACCCCAAACCAGAGCAAAATACACTTCCAGCTCTTAATCAGGCTCCTTCCAATCACAAGTGTGCAGAGTCAGAACAGAAATAATACCAGTAAATGTTATATGACCTTACAAGCTGCCCCCAGGGTACCATTTGGAGAGGGGAATCTTTGTTTCTTCTTTTTGCCCCTTGAAAAACAGACCTACCCAACACTTTTCCACTGTTATTCTTTCCTTATATCCCAACACTCAGAACTCTTGTGACATTAGCCAGTGGGGGCTTATGGTTGTGTGAACCATGTATGGAAATCCAGTTGGCTCCAGCCAAGGAAACAGACAGACTTGAGTCTCTTGCCCCCAACTTTTACACATGGTCAACTTAAAATAAAAAGTCCACTTTGGAGTCAAGCATGGAATTCAATTCCGCTGGTCAAGTTGGAAAGTTTAATGGGCTCTTGGAGCTATTCCCCAGCCCAACAGAGCTCTGTGGAAGATACCCTTAGAACCCATGGGAGGAACTGATGTTCATTCAAATCAGTGGCCCCTCCCTGAGCATTCATATGTGCTAGGCCAGGGCTTGTCACTGATGAGTGATACAGAGATACATAAGATTTGATCCATGAGAGCCTAACTTGTCTGCCTGGGTTTCCAGGCTGCTTTCAAGAACTTTTTACCAGGAAACAGTAGGAAATACTGAGGGGCCCTGGGTTTCCATGCTCATTTTGAAATGTTCTTTGTGGCTATGGTGAGCAAGTATCTCCTGGTTGAGACATGCATGCATGAATGTACATGCATGTATCTTCAAAGCTCTCCTCTATAGGCAGAAGGGTACTGTATCAAGGCCAAAGAGGACTGTTGGCTGGCACATCTATGCTGCTTCTGTCTACATTGTGCAAAGTCTGAAGACTTGTACTTGGAGCAGCAGCTAGCTAGTAGAGGGAGCTTGACTATGAGAATGTAGCTTTCCAGCAGTGGAATTAGGCAATTGGCAAGCTTAACTTTTTTTCTACCAGTTTTCCTCCTTTTACATCAACCCACCCTATTCCCATTTCCTCAAACACTCAGGTGCTTTCAGATTTCAGTCTCGGGCAGTGGACATAGGGAATTTCTGGCAAGCTCTTGTCTAGACATACCAGCTTTAGGAAGGGTGCCAGATGCTGACGGAAAATTATTTCTCCCTTGGTCCTTTGCCCACCTAACTGAATTGAGGGAGCTAGTTCTTCACCTCCCTGAGAATTGCTGTGCTCTCTATTGAGATCACCTGCCTGCTGACTTAGCTCAAGGCAAGCCAGAATCCTTCCCTAAGACTGGAGAGATGTGTTGTGTGGAGCAATGTCCAGTCTAAGAGATGACTCCTCATAACTGCTGATTATCTGTTACTGCTGCCCTGAGCTGGGGCCCAAGGGCTGGGAAATCTGTTGGTGCTACCCTGCCCTATCATTCACCCAGCTCACTGACTGCCAACAGGAAATGCTGTTTGGCTAGTTTTCTCCCAATCACCCACCCCCACCTTTGTCCCTAGACCAAACATGTTTACCTCTCTGCTTTGCCAACTCAGCCAGCAGCTTTAGCCAACAGGCCATCTTCTGGCCCAAATGTCTCCCAGCCTTTCTGTCTCAGTTAATGACTTTTACACTCTGAACAGGATTCTGTATTTTGTCCCAGTTTCCTTCTCCTAAGTTCTTACTGAATTCCCATCACTTCCAAGGGGAAGGAATAATAGTTATAGAAGCATTTGCGCTTTATATAAAGATTGAAAATAGAATCTACTTTTATTTCCCAAAGTCTGTCTCTGGGATTGAGACACGTGAACTCAGGCAGAGGGATGTGGCCGGGCAGGGCTGTCCCAAATTTAGGGGCCTATCCCTGCACTTCACTGAGACCTCAGAATCTCCTCTGAATTCCACCTGCCTAGTTCTCCCCTTTCATCCTCTCTTCCCACATCATCAAAGAGGAAAATCTTTGTTCAAATGGAAGAGAAAACGTAAAGCATATTATTATTTTCTTTTAAATAATTTTAAACCATGAAAAAGATATTTTTAACAAAATTCACCCAGAACATTACAGTTCACTATATTAAGTATTTATCATGTGTGAGAATAATAAATATATAACTGCAGCTAGTAGGCCCCTTTCCTAATCTCTTAGATTGTGTGAATAGGTTTGCTTGGTGCCAGTCCTGTGCCTGTTGCTCTCCTGTCATCTGTAGTTGTGATCAGAAAAAGATATCTGCACTGCACTGTCAAAAAAAATCCTTTCACTATGTTATGTGTTCAATTACCGTAGCTCTTTGTTTCATGAAATAAACTGTGAATTTGGGCGGGTGGGGGGCGTGCAGGCTATGTAAAAAATTTAAGTGGAGAAGTTTGATCCCAAACTAGCTTCTCTGAAGTAGGCTTTGGTAGGTAATTGACTGACAGCTGTCTAGAAATGTCTCACAGGACAGGAAGAAGTGAGAGATAAGGGGCCGAGCCACTTTAGGCTACTTTCTGGTTTTGTTTTGGTTCTTTCCATTCTCCACCATTCACTGGAGGCTTGGTTCTAGAGCTGCCTGGGAAAACAACTTGAGCTATGCACTTGGTTGGAGGGGACAGTTCTTAATGGATGAATAGCCAGGCCTTTGCCCAGGGCTACTGAAAAGACTAAGGTTGTTGAAAATGGAAACTAGAAATTTGAGCCTTTGGGCCCACTGATAATGTATGTGATAGTGGAGAGTTGAAATCATGGAAGCACTCACTATCCAATAGAAGCAGAGTCAACAAAACTGCTCGAAAATGACTCATTATGAAGGTGGGGAAAGGATGACCCTACATCCATTTTTGGCTTCAGGAAAAGTCTGCAATGAGACCTTTCTTCAAGGGAGTTTGAATTGGCAGTTAAAAGGAACTCTTTTATCTTAGAAACTTCTGATCCTTGTGCAGGATGGTATATTTTGGTGTTTGTTATTTGGCTAAGTGCTTGGAAACTAGGAGCTCAAGAGAGTCTACCTGTGAGTAAGCTCCCCAGCCAGGAAGTATTTTCAAGGGGCAAGCCAAAGGTGGAAAAGCCCCATAGGTAGCTAGAAAACTAATACCTCTCCTAGCCCTGTTAAGTCAGGAAAAAAAAAATTATGGAAACTGTTGAAATTTACATTCAAAGCCTCATTTGCTCCGCATGTAGGAGCCAACCCTCCTTCTAAAAGAAAATAGCTATTATTGCTACAAAAGCATCCATAGTTTTAGAAATATGCTTTCCTCTACAGTTATTGAGTTCAACATTAACTTAAATCACTGTGTCAATCCTCTGCTAAACCAAATCCACATTTCTGACATTAATAAGATTTTATTCTTCACATCCACCACCCCACACTATCGTCAGGGCATGAAGTGTAGTAGCAACCCTCCCTGGCTGGGCACTGTCTGCTCACTGGAGCTGGACTCCTGGTTATATTCTAATGTTGCCTGGTGAAAGCAAAGGGCAGAAAGGAGGTCTGGTCCTGGCAGCTTCTCTTGTGAAAAGCAATCGGAAAAAACACTAAACTTGATGGGTTTTACCCATAGCTCCTATAAAAGCGGGTTTTCTCTTAAGGCTTTTCTTGGGATATTGTCATCCTTCCGGGATTTGTCATCAGGTCAGGGGGCCCAGTGTCCTAACTTCTGAGATCACAGTAGGAAAGGAGCTGCCTCAAGCGCTTTTCCTGTTGAGTAACATTTAAGCTGTTTGTGTGTGTTAGACATTCCAGGTCATTTAGAGCTAGGTAGCTGCTACAGGAGCTTTGGCTGTAGCCAGTTCGCTCTCAGCTGATTTCCTAGGCCAGTGCAGCAGGGCCAGAGATTGCTGTAGTGTAAATTGAAGTATGAATAGATAAATGCTTTGTACACAAAAATGTAATGATGGTGCTAATTTCATGGTATAAATAAGCACTGCCAAGGGTTGAAGGACTGGTAACTTGAGAAATCCAAACAGGTTCCTGTTTGAAAGAAAGAGATTTCACATAGCAAGATTTCTTGGAGGCCCTGTGAGGGGTGGGGAGAAGGCAGTGTCTCAGTAAAGCCTGCACCCAGCCCTGGAGTGGTCCAGCACAATCCAGAGGTGGAAGAGATCCTGTATCCAGATGATGGTGGCCATTGAGTTTCTCAGGTCTGGGGTCACCTTGTCCGTAGCCTCCGTCCACACTGCCTAGAACACGTTGGTAGAGAGCTCTGGGTGTGGGGTCTCCCTCCATTACCTTCTGCCCCTCTACCTCTTCCACTCTTATGGGAACACCTCTATTGTTTATGAAGATTAAGGGTATTATTTCTTAAGGAAGTGGAAAGAGTTTATTTTAATTAGAAATCCACAACCTCAGAAGAAATGTTTCCTATCAACATAAGCAAAGCAACACATGTTAAACTCTTCTGTACTCCTTTCCCTAGGGCTACCTTCCCAGGAGTTTCAGAACATTGGGCTACTGAGGGGCTCTAGGGATAGCACTTGGGATTTCAGCACAGCCTCATGGACAGGGGCAAAAACAGGGAGCAGAATAGAGTCCTGGTGTATTAGGTTTCCATGGCGGGCAGAACAAGCAGTCTTAAGGATGAGGTGGTGCTGCCTGTGTGTGCATGTAGGTGAATGTGGAAGGTGAGTGAATGCAGCACACAGAAGCTCATGGAAGAGCAGCTTTCTAGGTCTTGGCAAAGAAACAAGCTGACAAGAGATCTTTATATTTTTAAGAAGAGGGGGCAGGGGGTTCAGCCAAGGTCCATCTCTGTTTTCCCCACTCCCCCACAGATTGTCAGCTGGAAGTGAACTCCTAGTGAAAAAGAGGGGAACCCTGTGCTAGGAGTTCCCATAAACATGTACTGTAATTCTTTGTATATAGAAAAAAAAATTACTGTAAAGTAAAGTTTAACTTTACTCTTATGGCCCTTGCCCTGTGTTTTGTTTTATTGTCCGTGGGGAGACACAGCCCGACAAAGGATTGGTTTTGGGTGAGAGCAGGAGCCAATCCCAGAGATAGTTCCCTGGTGGGAGGGGGCATGGCAGAAGGGAGCCCTTCCTCCAGGCACTTCATGGGAGTGGTCTGGATTTCCTCCCAGGTGCCACTGCTTGACTTAAAGCATCTTTCCCTTTTGTTGGGAGGTGTCTGGTATCAGTTTCAGCCCCCTCAACAGGAAGTCTCCATCACTCAAGAAGGAAGGGTATTTTGAGGAATTGGTTTTAAAAAGAGAAGTGAAACTAAAGCACTTTCTGAGTATGAGTTTCATCATGTTAATTATAAACTCTTCAGAGACAGGTATTGGGCACTGCAAGGTCTCAGCCAAGGCCTAAAGGCAGGAAAGCAAGGGCAAAGAGTGAGCTGGAAGGCAAAGCCCCTACACTCTCTCCCCTCCAATACCATAACAGGCCACAGTACACGCCTCCTGTTTGAACAGGAAGTGTCAGCCCTGTTTACACTAATACCTGGCACTTCAGAAATATTTGGACCTCCAAAACCCAATACTTTTGGGAACCTTTGGGAGTTTGCCTCTCCTTCCCTAGCCCTAAATTCCCTGTTCTTCCACGAAAACCTTCAGGGAAGGAGTTGGGAAACGTTCAGTACTAGAATACTCCTCACTTAGGATTGTCACAATGTTGAGGTAGCAGTCATTTCATTTTACGGATGAAAAGCTCAAACTGAAGAATTAAGTTGCTTTTCTGCACTAGCAGCTGAATTAGATCTGAATCTGGATCCATAAAACCTTTCTGTCTTTCAGACCATTATTTTTCCTACCAGTAAATAACACTCTAGGGTGTCATTGGGAAACCCAGGATCTGAGTCATAGGCCTAACCCACACACCCAGACGTGACAGATGCAGCAGAGGTAGCCTCTATCTTTAGGGAAGAGTGCCTGAACCTTCTCTGGACACAACTTAAGTGCTATCTTTGTTCCTCTTGGCACCCAGAAAGAACTGTGAGCTTTGCATGACCCATCCCCTGCCTCTAACCTTGTTTGCCCCAACAAAAGAAAAGAGCTGGGGACACAGCTTATTGGTAGAGCCCTTGCCTACCACACACAAACCCTGAGTTCAGTCCCCAGTACAAAAGGGTAAAGGGAGCTCCAATAGCTCATTGAAAACCCTGGGCAAAAGTTACTTGGTTTCTCAAGGAAAATAAGAATTTGGAGGAGCCTTAACAGGAAGTGAGGCCAGCCAGGTGGCACCAGAAGGAACTAGGTGTCTTGACACCCAGTCCACACAGCAGGGAAAAGGGCTGAGTGTGATTCACAGTGCATTGATTTTATTTACAGATCAGAAGCCACTTAAAATATATCTGTAGACACAAGTGCTGTCCAGGGCAGAAGTCTGGGATCCAAATCAGCCCTTAGCTCTCTTATGCCCACAGTCAGCCCAATGCTGCCTCCATTCCATGGGCCAGCACAGGCAGGTGCCACCTCTGCTGCTGTGGGGACCAAGGGTAGCTAAGACATTGGACCACCCAAGCCCTTACAAGAGCTGGGTCTAGGGCCTCTAGGGAATTCCTTTTATTCCCCCAGGCCAGGTGAGTGGTGACTCAATGATGACAACAGCTGTAGAAGTAGGGATTTGCCTTCTGGCCCAGATCCACGCCCTTGTCCTCTGCCAAAGAGAGAGGTGGCATTTCAGCACCATTGTGGTGGGGGGATCCCGCAACTCAAGAAGAGAGATAGAGCCCTAGAGGAAGTCTCCATAAAGGCTGGGAAAGCACACACCTGTCATCACCTGGAAGGCTGCCACACTGACGTAATCCTCTGCCACTTTCTGGAAGAGCTCGTCTGGCAGGAAAATGATGATTGGTGAGGGCCTGATGCCAGCATCCCTGGGATCTCCCAGTGACCCAGCCCTCTGGGTTCTATCCTGCTTCCTCTGGTAAACCATCCTATTCTTCTTGAGGCCCCAGGACAGCACTCACCCACACTCTGACCTGTCTTGCTGGATGTTTCAAAGAGCTGGGCTTTGATATCTGCAAAGAGAAATGACTAAGGGTTCACACCTGAGAATTAGGTCAACATAAACAAGGAGAAGGCTAGCAGTTCATGGTGTCTCCTAGACTCCACAGGTTCGAGGAAGACAAAAAGCCCTCCTACTGCACCTTGCCAAGGCAGACAAGGTCCCTGTTCCCTATAACCCACAAAAACAACCCCCCACCCCCACCCCGACCCCAAGGGCTGAGGAGCAGCTACTGTCTGCATAGTCCTGGACATCATGGAAGTCCACACGGCGGCGGCGCCGGTCTTCCTCCAGCAGGTCACTCTTGGTGCCACACAGGTAGATTTGACAGCCCTGGAGCAGAAGACAAAACCAGGTTCACTCCCACAGACAAAGAGTCTCAGCCCCTGGTCTTTTAGTGAGGTCTGGCCACATACCTCCTCTAGGCTGCGCAGCTCTTTCACCCAGAACTTTGCTCTTTCAAAACTGCTGCTGTCAGTGAGGTCTTGGTATGGAGCATGCAGGAAACACAAGCACGGATCAAGGGCTGTTCTGAGGCCAGCCTGTCATCCAACCCTTGCAATAAAGAAGAGCCCAGAACCCCCATACCGTAGCAGACGATGGCAGCCTTAGCCCCGCGATAGTAGATTCTGCTCATGGCCTCATAGCGCTCAGAGCCTGCTGTGTCCTGAAAGGCAGAGGAAGGCCCAGCCCTGGCCGGAGTTACTTAACTGGGCTACTTCCCAAGATTGAAAACTAAGCCTGTGTCCTCCAGATCCCCATTTTCTAGGTGAGGAAATTGGGGTCTGGAGAAAAGAAATGGCCTCTACGAGGCCTCCAGCTAGCCAGTGATAGATCAGGACCCAGGCCGCCTCAGCAGTGGTTTTCCCCAATAGCAGATGTCCATAGGACTTACCCAAATACCCAAAGTCACCGTCCGGTCTCCAACCGACATCACTTTGGCCACGAATGCAGCCCCGATAGTCTGCAATTAAGGGGAAGAGATCAGGACCGCAGGTGCAGGTTGGCTGCCTCCTACTCGTGCCGCGCTGGGAGGGTTGCACTCACGTTCTGATAGGGCCCCACCAGGAAGCGGTCGTGCACGTATCGTTCCACCAAGCTTGTCTTGCCCACGTACTCCTTGCCCAACATCACCACCTTGACGTCCACGCGCTGCCCGCTCATGCTCCCCGGGCGGCCTCACCCACGTAAAGGTCCGCTCCGCCCAGCCTCAGACCCCGACCCCAAGCGCCTCGCACCTCGACAGCGCCCCTGAATGGCCCGGCCAAACCGGCCCCGGGCGCCGAGTGTTCCTCCAAGACACCCCAGAGCCGTGGCGGCCTGGGAGCGCGCGGGCAGCGCCCTCCACGGCGCCGCACGCTGCGGTGCAGCTCGTCGCTCGTCACTCCTTAGCCCTCCCGCTCGCTTGCTCGCTCGCCTGCCCGAGCGGCTTACGCTGCACTGCTGCCCAGGCTTCAATTCCGCCCAGATTCACAGCCGAACTTGGGGTCTCCCACAACCCAGTTCCACTCCGCAGCACCGCGTCTCCCGCGGGAGGGGCGGGAGGGGGCGGGGTCGTCAGGTCACGTGGCACGGACCGGAAGCGGCGAGACTGAGCGGCGGCGCCGGAAGTGGTGCGCGGCTGTACAATCCCTCATGGCGGCAGCAGCAGCGATTTGGGTGCGGCGCAGTGGTGACTGACTTGCGAGCCTGGCGGGCGTGCGCCGAGCCCCGGCCCGGCCTCCGCGTGCCCCCCGGGCTCTGCACCCCTGATGCTGCGCGGGTGCTGAGCCCGCCCCGGCCGGGACGATGGTGAAGTATTTCCTGGGCCAGAGCGTGCTCCGAAGTTCCTGGGACCAAGTGTTCGCTGCCTTCTGGCAGCGGTACCCGAATCCCTATAGGTACGTGAGCCAGGGAAAAGCAGACCTCCTTCTCGCCTTGCTATTTGGAGATCGAAGTGTGGGCAGCCCCTCAGTAATGGGACCAGGAAAGACTAGAGTCTTGACATGAGGGATCTGCGGAACCGTGGCGGTCCTTAGAGGACGGAGGAGACCTTATCGGGGAAGCGGCCAGGCCGCGCCTGCAAGATCCTAGAAGAAGGCTGGTCCTGGGTGATGATTTACTTGAGGCCGTAGTCTGAGGTTCTTTCTTAAGGTGCTGAGGCTAGGAACAGGCGGCGGCACAGTAGTTGGGAGAGAACTTGGGTTGGAAATCCGGGCATTTGCCAGACCTGAAGCCACCCCCGTTGCAAGGCCCAGGAATTCACTTCAGGGAGGAGGCGGGAGTTGGAATTTGCCCTAGGATAGGTTCAAGGTACTTTTAGTTCTGAATTACAGCACAAATCACTCTGCAAGATTGCAGGAAGATAAGGAGAGAGGCTCCCAACAGGAACCCCAATAGACGGTCTGTTTAGGGGGGGGAGTTTTCTAAGGGTCCCCCTTCACTGACACCTGCAGCAAACATGTCTTAACGGAAGACATAGTACACCGGGAGGTGACCCCTGACCAGAAGCTCCTGTCCCGGAGACTCCTGACCAAGACCAACAGGATGCCCCGCTGGGCAGAGCGACTGTTTCCTGCCAATGTTGCTCACTCGGTGTACATCCTGGAGGACTCTGTTGTGGACCCACAGAATCAGACCATGACCACCTTCACCTGGAACATCAACCATGCCCGGCTGATGGTGAGACTGCTCTTGATCCGCACAAAAGTAGACTGCTCCTCATGTACATGGCTAGAGTCATGAGAGACTGGGGCATGATTGGGTTACTGTGGAGCAATGGCTACAGGGTACAACCTCAGATTATCTCTTTATTTCAGCTGGTCAGCCTCTCTGGACCTGTCCTTTGACTCGTTCATGGGTGGGGGGGGGGGAAGTGTTCATTTTACAGAGTTGTTGTAGGTACTAAACACAAACATTTATGTCATGTGTGACATACACTCCGGTTGGGCCCACAGAAGTGATGCTGAGGGAGGAAGGTAGCAGTTTTCACATAGGAGTCCATTAAGCCCAAAGATGCCCTGGATGTGCTTCAGCAGTTGACATTCTAAGCCCTTTACCTCGCTTTGACTGGAGACATTCCACATTTATCTCTCATAAAGGGATCTCTGCCTGAGATTTGGGGCAATGGAGTTCCACATACCTCTTTAAAAGCTTGAAAACGGGGCTGGGACTGTAGCTCAGTGGCAGAGCACTTACCTAGCATACATGAGGCACTGGATTCAAGCCTCAGCACCACATAAAAATAAACATAAAATAAAGGCATTCTGTCCATCTACAATTTTAAAAAATTAAATAAATAAATAAAAGCTTGAAAACCCATAGTTATGGTTAAAGGAACCATTCCACTGCATCTTTTCACATGTGAATACCCTGCAAACTTTCAGAAAATTATTCTTCTCAGCTTACTTTCATGATACCCTTGAGAGTTACATATTACTCATTTATGCCAAGATGAAAAGTTCAGAGAAGGGACGTGTCCTACAGTGTCACAAAGTGAGTGACTACCTTCCTCTGCCCAATGCAAGTCATTTCACATGACAGGATGAGGGTGCTACTTGGTAATGACAAAAACAGCAATCCATTCATGAAAAGTGTCATTAAGTATTATTCTGAAAGTAGCAATCCACTTTTTCCTTTCTGTTAATGAAAGCTGTGATGACTATCAGACATCTATTTGTATTTGGACTGTCAGAAAGCTCAAGAACTGCAGTGGGTGGAAGTTTGAGTTAAAAACAGCACATGTACCTAGATATAAAGGCCCCAAATAGTCCAGGGTCCCAGGATAGAAAGCCCTCTGCCTCTCCTAAGAGACCTCATGCCTTCTAGTGTTTTTAAGGGTCAGGAAAGGAGTTTACAGGGTAAAATGGTGTTGGGGATACAGTAACAGGAAGGAATGGATTTTCATTTCATGGCTTCTTTTTGTGAAAAGAGGCAGGGCTTCAGCTAAGTGTGGTGGCACGTGCTTTTAGTTCCAGCTATTCAAGAGGCTAAAGTGGGAGGATCACTGGAGCCCAAGAGTTTAGGGCCAACCTGGGCAATAATACAACAAAGAAGTCAGGGATCAAGTCTGTAGGTTGGTAAAGCAAAAGATGTCCCTGCAATGTGGGTGGCCTACCTTTCCACACAGGTGGTGGAGGAACGATGTGTTTACCGTGTGAACTCTGACAACAGTGGCTGGACCGAAATCCGCCGGGAAGCCTGGGTCTCCTCTAGTTTATTTGGTGTCTCTAGAGCTGTCCAGGTAAGCAATGTTGTGGGGTTTCTAGGGCCGAGGCTGTTGGCATGGGGGCTGGGCAGAAGTTAGTGGCCAGTTACCAGTCCTTCCCACCTCAATCTTTTGCCAGGAATTTGGTCTCGCCCGGTTCAAAAGCAATGTGACCAAGACTATGAAGGGTTTTGAATACATCTTGGCCAAGTTGCAAGGTGAGAATTCCGGGTGCTATCGGGGGGAGCTCATCAGGAGAGGCTGGGTCAGATCCTAGCTCAGCCTGACTTTCATAGACCCTGGACCAGTCATTACCCTGCTCTGAGCCTGAGACTTAATATATACCAGGTAGCAAATGTCACCTTTCCAAAGGGGTCAGGCCTCTACTAGGCAACTGGCATGGCTGGGGAATGTAATTAGGTGGGGCCTCTCGGCACCATATGAAGCTAGCCTCCTGCCCTTTATTCTAGGTGAGGCCCCTTCCAAAACACTTGTTGAGACAGCCAAGGAAGCCAAGGAGAAGGCAAAGGAGACAGCACTGGCAGCTACAGAGAAAGCCAAGGACCTTGCCAGCAAGGCTGCCACCAAGCAGCAGCAGCAGCAGCAGCAGCAGTATGTGTAGCCAGGCTGGGCCCCTGCCACTGCCACAGCCCACCAGCCGGCTATGGGCTCCCTCTGCACCCTTTCATTGTACTTGATTATTAAAAATCAACTTCTAGCCCTCTCTGCTGTCTGGGTGGTGGGTTGGGGCAGGTGTCCTGTTCAGCATCTGCAGTACCAGGCACATATCTGAGCCCAGACTGCTTATTCTCCCATTGGGCAGCTGATGACAGGCACAAAGAGGGGCAGAGGTATGGGGACTTGCTCAAGGTCACAGGCAGTATGCAGGGGGGGTGTTGATAAACAATAGACTGTAAGCTCCAAGAGGGCAGGGCTCTTTGTTTTGTTCTGATGTGTCCCAAATACCTGGAAAAATATCTAGCACATAATAGGCACTCAATAAATATATGTTGAATTCAATCAGCCCCAGCTCTGGAGTCAGAAAGCTTTAGTATGGATCTTGACTCCACTGTTTCCTGGCTTTGGAACTCAGGCAAGTCACACCACCAGGCCTCAGTCCTACCACCCTTAAAGCCCAGACAGGACAGCCTCCAGGTTGTGAGGATCAAGTACACCACTCAGGATGGTGGTGGCAGCTGCTGATCTTATTTCCTCTTTTCTAGTTGTGGTTGTGACTTCCTCCATTTTTATCAGGCAAGACCATGGACGGGAAATTATGAAAGAAGCTTTTAATGAAAATACTGTACAGTATATGTAGGGCAAAGGCCAGAGGCCTTATTCAGGAATAAGAGGGTCCAAGAGGCTTCCTGCCCCTGCTGGAGCAGCAGAGCCAAGTGCTACAAAAACGCCTGGAAAGGCAGCCCAGGCCCAAGCTGCCTGCCCTGCAGAGCTCTGGGGGTGGTCTGGGTGCCTCCTCCCAATCGGTGGGGACTGCCTGGCAGCCAGTAGCAGGTTACGGGGAGTACCTGTTCCCACACGAGGGTCCTTTTAGTCCATTCCAACTGATGCCTCTGAGCAGCCCTCTGGGCTGCCTGGTGGGCTCAGCCCAGTGTGAGTAGAAGGCAATCAGAGTAGTGAGCGTCATAGCCAGTCACAGGTGCTGTGCGAGTAGCTGTGCTCCTGGCCCGCGCTGAAGCCCCGCAGCAGCTCGGCCTCACCCCCAAACACCAGGCTCTCCACATCCACCTCCAGCTCCTCTGCACAAGGAGGGTTCCAGTCAAAAGCCCTGGCCCACCCACACTGCCCAGGGCCCCTAGACTTCAAGCCACTCACCTTGGTCCGAGTCCGAGCGCTCAGAAGAGAGGCCTGAAGAGTCCAGGCTATCCGCTCGCAACCTCTCACCTACTGGCAGCCCCCGGAGCTGCTCCAGCTGCCTCTGCAGGCTCCGCTGTTTGCTGCGCAGCTTCTCCTTGAGCCGCCGAGCCCTCAGCTCCTGTTCCTCTAGCTTCTGTAGAGATGATAGGAGCAGGGGCTGGGGTCAGCATCCCAAAATGTGAACTTTGCCCATGTGCCACTTAGCAGTGGGCTACAGCCACATATACCTCTCCCTGCTCCAAACAGGCGGGCACATAAACCTGGGCCCCAGAGGGTTGTTGAATGTCCTCAGAAAGCAGCTCTCTCCTGTGTGTCACCCATCTGTGCTCTGGTCTAGATGGGCATGGCGTAGGAGACGAGCTAATCCCAAACACACTTGTGGGCTGGCAAGTGCACATTCACTCGAGGAGGCAGCCACCTCCAGGTTCCAGCCCATTGCTGCCACATGGCAACAGGCCCAGCACTGCCAGATCTCCCCATTTCTTTAAGAAGCTGGAAAGCCAGATTTTTCATGTCAGATGCCCTTTGAAATGTTGCCAACTAATTTAAATTATGAAAAAACTTCAGACTAAACAAAGGCTATCAGTTTGCAATTCCTGGTCAGGATCCTCCTGGGGCCCTAAGGCTCCAGCATTAACCTCCTCCCCTCATCCCTACATGAGTTTTGTCAGCCCTAATGTTCAGAATCTGGAAGTCTAAGGACCCAATCCTCGGTGGGCAGAGGACTGAATTTAGTCATTTCACAATAAGGGGAGATGGACTGGGGCTATCGCTCAGTGGTAGAGCACTTGCCTAGCATGTGTGAGGCCCTGGGGTCGATCCTCAGCACCACATATGAATAAACAAATAAAGTGAAAAACACATTGGCAACTAAAACAAAACAAAACAAAAACCCAATAAGGGACAGGGTATAGAAGGATAAGTAGGAGCTACCCAAAGTTGGGGGTAGGCACCATGGCAGAGGAGCCTGGCAAGCATGGAAAGTGTGGCTTTTTCTTTGGGGGATCGGGGAGAGACCAGTCCAAAAAAGCAGTCATGATAAGGCCTGGGTTGGAGAGGGCCTTGAGAATCATAATAAATAAGGAACTGAAGCTTTGTTTTGTTGGGATTCCTGTCAAGGTTTTCAGCTGGAGATGGGCCTGGGCACATCTGTGTATGGCCAAGATCATTCTAAAGCAAAGAAAAAGACAGTCTGGTAGAGGCCATATAGGAAAGAGGGAGGCCAGTGAAGAGGTTTGCATAAATTAGTCCAGAAGAGGGGTGATGAAGCTTCAAGGATGGGATGATTCCCAGGACCTGCCCATGGACATATCATCTACCAAGAAACTAGGCCAGGAAAGCACCATGTGATAAACGGGGACCCATTAGCCAACCAAAGTATTACTCAGCCACAGTGAAGGTGATAACAGGCACTTATGGGGCAGTGTAAATACTTCTTACATCTGGGATTTATTTGCTGGATGGCACTTGGATCTGTCTGCCATAGTGTCCAGTGCCTAAAATAGGGCCTGGCACAGCTAATGCTCAATAAATGTCTGTTGAAGGAAAGAATGCAAATGAGGGGGCCTGGGCCTGGATCTGTCTTTCCTCAGCACATAACTTTGCTGTGCCTCCTTCTCTTCGCCTGTCAAAAGAGCTAGGACAGGAAAAATCCTCTAATGTTCCCAAGGCTGCTTCTAATATGGGCATCCCTGGGGCTGCTTGGGCCTTGGCACCTGCACACTAACTCCTGTCCACTAGGGGGCGGGCAGCTCAGCCCAGGCAGTAGCAAGGGCCCTAGGAAGCCCAATGATTAGCTCCCTTAATCCCTTCTCCCTTCTGAATTCTGGAGTGGATGCCTCATAGGGTGGCATTTGGATAGATGAACAGCAGGTCTTGAAGGATAGGAACAGGGGAGAGTGGAAACCAACTCTCTGCAATGTAAGGGACCATTACATATGATTTATCATAGAAATTTTTTCAACAGCAATTCCCTCCCCACCAGAGGAGGAAGCAGAAGTCCAGACACAAGCCAAGTGACTTGCTCAAGGTCTCCAGGCTGGGATCTAAGTAGTAATAGCTGTAACAACAACGAACATTTACAGGGTGAATTCACTGAAGCCTCAGAACAACCCTCTGAACTATTTTTTGTTTTCCTTCCCATTTAATAGATTAGAAAACTAAAAGCACAGAGAACTGTCCCCAGTCTCATAGTTGGACTATGTTTGGCCCTTTTCCCTAGTTCCACCCAGGCCTCCCATGTCACACCTGGGGACACAGGGTGCCCCCCTCCACTTACCTGAATGTGCATCCTGGCTCTACGCAGCAGGTTCAATGTGGTGTATCGGGCACAGTCAGTCCCCAGGGGCATCTGCTGCTTCAGCTGCTCCAGGCATCGCTTCAGCTGGGCCCTCCTGTGGGGGAAGGGGTCTGGAGGGCAGTGCCAGCCGCACCTCACCAGCCAGAAGGACAGCAGGGAAGGCAAGACCAGACAGAGGTGGTTCCTGGGACCTGGTGCTGTCAGGACTGGGGTGGGACTCACCTACGCTTCTCCAGCTCGTTGTGCACAGACCTGTCAATGCCAAGGAGGATGAGGTGAGGGGCTGTCAACTACAGCCCACACCCTTAGCTCAGGGCCCCCTGTGACTCAAAAATCTACTACAAATGTCTGCCTCAGTCAATCCTCTTGTGGGGACCTTGGGTGGTTGTCCAAATGAGGCTCTCCTGCCAGCCTGGCAAGAAAGGTTTCCTGGACAGAGATGACAGGTGAACTGAGCACAAAACAGAGTTTCCCACACAGGGCAATGGAGGGAAAGGCATTCCAACTGGACGAAGCAGTGTACGCAGAGTGTTGAAGTACAACAGTAAAGAAATAAGCCTGTGGAGAAGAGAGTGGTTTGATGTGTGTGAGTGGAAACAGGACTCAGAACTGTCTTGTTCACAGTTCCTGTCACATCAAAGGTCCTGAAGTAGTCCTTGAATTCACAAAAAGGTGTATGGGGAGGGGACAGATGGCAGGAGAGCTTTGAATGCTTCCCGGATCGGGGTACCTAATCTATAAGATGCAAACGAGAAAATGAGCAGAGGAAAGACCGAAGAAGGACAGTGCCCATCCACCCTCCCTACACCACTCCCGACGCCTGCACCCTCCTTACCGCCCACTGTCCAGAGCTCCGGGAGCTTGCGGGTGTTGCTTCCTCCTCCTGTGGATGGGGCCCGGACTGCGATGCGGGCACAGGGACGCGTAGCCATGCTCTGCCTCTGCCAGAAAGAGGCAGAGCCCGCCCATGTCAAGCTAGGACTGGAAGGGGCCCCTGGCACATCAGGGTCAAGGAAGGGCTTCTGGCGCCGAGACCATCTCCCCAACCCTTCCCTACCCGACTGCCCGCGAACTCAGCTCTGAGTTGAGGGTGGATTATTGCCCTAATTGCCGTGCATCGTTCAAGTTGCATGCCAGGTCGTCCAGGCCCATGTCAGTGAGGTCTCCTTCAGGAGTCTAGCCCAGAGTTCTTCCTCACCTCTCTCACGGCGCTCCAGGAACTCAGCCGCCTGCAGCAGGACCTGGATGTTGCTAGACACAGGTTCCATGTCGGCTACAGCTGATGGCGGGCGGGCCTAGGGTGCTGGCCAGAGCTGCGGCCCCACCACTTTTGTTACAATGTAACTGACACAGGGCAACAAACACAGGCGCTCGGCCCCGCCCCCAGGATGCCCCGCCCTTGGGAACGCCCAGTCATTGGGACCGCCTCCTTGGAAAACACCCACCCTCTGCGAACCCGCCCGCCCACAAATGGCCAGGGACGCTCGCGGGGCAGGAGTTGGCGCCGGCTCAAGTCCTGGTCCTTGGGTGGACCCCTGGGCCAGGGTCCTGCGTCTTGTTCTCTTATCTCAGAGACCCCGCGGTTCCTTGGCATTACCAGCCCCATGGAGGTAGAGAGCCTTCACACAGAATACGGTGCTGCAGGGCCAATCGCTCCCCAGGAGGCCCGGGCTCTGGCGCTGCACGTGGGCGCCGCGGGGGCTGGGCCGGCCAGCAACCGCTAGCCCATTCGCTTGTTTCTGGCCTAGTCTTGCTGTTGTCATCTTCTGGGTGGGACCGGAGAGCCTCTGAGACACGATTGGCTGTCGCGTGGCCCCGCCCTCTCCCGCTGCTGGTTTACACGTTCGGGCGGGAAAAGAAGCAGGTTTCAAATTTGAAAACCCAGGCGATGGGGCGGGGTTGAGCAGCAACAAGGCGGCGATGCGCAGGCGCTGGCGGAGGCGGGGCGAACCCGGCCTCTGTGCTTGGTTAACTGTTCCTACGCCTGCCTGCGGTCTGGCCCCCCTGGGCCCGGTGGGGCCTCAGCTTCCTATCGTGTCGAATAGGAATAATCTTCAGGTTCCCCCACCTCGACTGCAGGGAAGCTATGTTGCCACGAAAAGTCAGGAGGATGAAAGCTTCCCAAGCCAGGCCATATCCTGGAAACATGCCGTCTGGCTTTTTAGGGAACCCTGGGTTCTGTGTGACACGAAGGCCCTGCAACAGAGGTTGTGGAGGATCAGAGCCAATGCCTATACAGTGCCAAGTATGAAGCAGCCACCGCTTTCTAAGACCACTTCTTCCTCTCTGGTTGCCTTTCTCAGAGTCCATGAGCCCTCCTCCACCCCTTCAGTGTGGTCTGGAAAGTGATAGGCAAGCGCTCTACCGGCCCTCAACTATGTCCCCATCCATCGCCTGGATCTTGCTAAATTGCCAAGGCTGACCTCAAATTTGCCATTCTCCAGCCTCAGCCTCCTGAGTATCTGGGAATATAGGCTGAGAATATAGGCATATGCATCCTCAGGGCTTATGAACCCTTCTAGAAAGTGACTTTAACCTTCTGGAGTTTTTGCTGTGCCTCTTAGGCCACTACCAGCTCAGGTGAAGCCACACCTATGGGACAGGAAGGTGAGAGCAGCTCTAAACAGGGTGGGGCATTACTGTGAAGCATGAGCAAACAGAAAAGGAGGAGGGTAATTACTCCAAAAAGGCATATCCCTAGGTAAACACAGGCACCTGTGAGTCAAGCCTCAGTTTCTTGGAGGTTCTCTAGAATCACTACCAGGAATCTCCAATTGCTCAAGTCAAGAACTGCTGCCTGGGACCATCCATCTACACATCCATGGTCCATTCACTCTCAAATATTTGCTGAGTGGTTAAATGACACCAGGCACTGTCCTGGGGTGGCACAGTGGTTGGGAGAACACAACAGTGGGCTTTTGTAGAGTTCATAGACTTGACAGGGAGAGAGACCAATTTACTCATAAAGGCAGGGTTCCAACTTAAACAGGCCTTCTCAGGAAAAGACAATGCTGGAGGCATGCCTACGGAGCACTTTTGACCTAATCCAGGAGGTTAGAGAAGATTTTCCTGGAGAAATGAAAGAATAGGTGTTATCTGTATACAGTAGGGATGAAAGAGAATACCAGAAGAGCGTGTGCAAAAGGCTGAAAAGAATGTGGCAGTTGGCAGACTGAGACAAGGCCGGTGTGGCTACACAGAGCAAAGAATGTGGCGCAGGCCAACACTTGGATAGGCTGATTGTGCCCAGAGAGGGTTGATGGGTTCCTTAAACCTGTGTCTGCAATCAGTCATATCTGAAGAAAGCAGTCATAAGGCTTGTGAATGAGTTACCAGTTTTATTTCACTAAAGACACCATCCTGGGGCTGGGGCTGGGGCTCAGTGATAGAGCACTTGCCTAGCACGTGTGAGGCACTGGGTTTGATCCTTAGCATCACATAAAAGTTAATACATAAAATAAAGGTGCTGTGTCCATCTATAACTGAAAATATAAAAACAAAAAAAACACCATCTCCACGGTGCAGTTACAAAACTTCTAGTCAGATATCTGGCACCCAGGAGGCCCCACTTGGAGTCTGGGCAAGGGGCAAGGAGGTTCTCAGAGGAAAGTTCCCAGCACACTCAGGGAAAGAAAAAGGCAAGGGAAGCGAGGCAGAGGCTGTAAAGGGACAGGTTGAAGAGTTTCAGCCTTCATCCTAGAAGCCCTGGGGAAGAGTCAAGTTAGGGAACAGCATGCAAACTGAGGTCAGCCTAGCCTCAGGCCTCCCATGAATATGGGTCTAGAGCAGCCAGGAGCAATACCTTCCTGGGAGAATGACAGGGGCAGGGATGGGGCTTGGACCAACAGATCTCCTGCCGCAAGCCCTCCAATGCCCTTCTGGTCCACTTTGAGAAAATGCTAGAAAGCTTGTGCCTTCTGGACCCAGGACCAACAGAGGAGGCCTATGCTCCTGCCCCTCAGGAGTCCTAGAACCTCTGTCCTAGATCCCCAGCATCCTGTACTACCTCTGGCACTCAACAGTGCAGCAAGAACAGTGGGAAACTCAGGTCCCCTGCCCTGTGTCTTCCCACCCACAGCCTTGCCTGCCTGTCATAGTCAACACTACTGGGTTGCCTGGAGGGAAGAAGGAGACCCCTCCTGCTCTTGGTCCAGTCAGTTCCCCCTGAAGAGGGCAGCCTGCTCCACCTTTACCATCCTCTCACACTCTTACCAACAGGATACAGAGACTTGTCCTGCTGTCCCTCCAGAGAGTAGCTTGGGGGCAGGGAACTTGTGGGCCTGGCCTGCCCATCCTCCCTGAGCTGCCTTACCCCATCTCTCCCACATTACTCATCCTCTCTTCTTCTCAAACAGCAATATTCCTTAGTCATGGAGTTACCCAGGCTAGGCCCCTGTTGAAAGTCTGGTAATGGCTTCCCATAACCCTCAGGACAAAGTTCAAGCTGGCGGAACTACTTCTCCTGCCATGCCATGGGACAGGCTATGCCCTTGCCCATCTCCCTGCCTCTGCCAACTGAGCTCAAAAGTCACTTCTAGAAAGTGCCAGGCCTTCCTATTTCTGTACATCCTCTTAAACAATAGTGGTTGCTGGGCACGGTACCTCCCATCTACCCAGAGGCTGGGGCAGGAGCATCCTAAGTTCAAGGCTAGTCTGGGCAATTTAGAAGACCCTGTCTCAAAATACAAGAAAGGCTTGGGATGCAGCTCAGTGGTAGAGTGCGTGCCTAGCAGGTGTGAGGCTCTGGGTTTGATCCCCAGCACCACAAAAAAAAATAAATAAAAATAAACAGAAGAGGCCCTAACCCAATTTTCCAGTACTTTGAATTATCAATATCAGAGTTATAACCTGCCAGTGTTATACCATCTTGCAGTATGGCAGTAGTTGTATCCTGAAAAATAAGAATCAAAAAGTGCTGGCACATTACAGGGTCCCCTCAGTCATTAAGTGAGTCCAATCCATCATCATATTGTCTAACTAAAATGTGTCCCAAAGTGAGGCCACTCCGGCTTGCAGGCCTCTGTTCATATGTTTCATGTCCCCAAAATAGGAGTGGTCTTACCAACACATGGATTCACTCAAGTATCTGGTCAGAGCTACGAGACAACATCATCTCTTGCTCTAAGCATCTTTCAAGGTGTTATTGTAATACTGAATTTCTCTTATTGTGTAATCCATTTCCTTTACCCTCAACTTCTATTCCTCCTCTTCATTTGTACCCACACTTTTCCACCTTTGGAAGGGATACTAGTTCAGCCACTGTCTGGCCCAGGTTGCTGGTAGTAATGCTCATCTAGCAAGTACCTCCCCCCTCAGTCCATCCTGTTTGAATAGGGTAAAGTCTCCAGGGACACAGCTAGCAGGCTGTCTTCATCACAAGGCAACCAACACATGCACTCACTATTGACCCAATTTTGGCAGATGGGGTGAAGACCCAACCATCAGGCCCTCAGAGATTCTGACATAAAGGGTTAAAGGTGTGCACTCTTATACTTAGGGATCATCATTACTTCTGGCACCTGCGGTTGCAACACTGTTCCCCTGTCCCCTGAATCAGATAAGACAAAAGAAGGTGAGGCAATATGTCAGAAAAAGAAAAAGAAAAAAAAAAAGTATCATCATGCCAGCATTATTCCCATTCCTTCTTTCCTAGATCCTCCAGAAAAGCTGAGGAATCCATCAGGGAGCCTCCGGAACCCCTTCGTGTTGAGTGTGAGCACACATTCATGAAGCCATATAACCAGTCCTTCAGGGCTTCAGCTCCCCTTATCTGACTAAAATAGGTGTTTCCATCACCTACTCCAGTTCTTCATCAAACCGTTATTCCGAGGATACCTCTGCACCCATGGTTGGACATCATGGGCTGTAGAATATGTTCCTGGGTCTGAAGAAACTTGACCTAGTGGTTCAGTATCTTCCGTTCTGAGCCCTTAACACTGGCATCTTCCGGGGGTAAGCCAAGCCTGGTGCACAGGGACTGTCTATTCTTGCCAGAGCCTCTGGGGCCAAGGCATTGGTCTGACTTGCCAGCTGTGTGCAGGGTCTTCCCCCAGAGCCTGCCCACAGCCACCTACAGACTGCCTCTCTTGTTGCAGACACAGTTCCTACTGACATGCTGTGCTTCAGAGAGTGTAAGAAGAACCTCAATGCAGACACAGTCCCCGTCTGCATTGCTGTAGCACCCACACCGCTCCTTTAATGGGCCCTATGTGAGTTCTGTGGAACATCCACTCCCTGGTTCTGAACACCTTCCAATTCTGGAATGTGGTTCTTCTGTGGCGTCTGCAAGACCTCTTTTGATGTACCCCCAGATTCCTATAGCGATTTCCATGGAGCCAATGCTCCACTCAGGCATCCCCAAAATAGATCCTTTTTTCCACTGTCCTGAGTTGGTGGAAACCCAAACATGAGGCAAGCAGCATGCAGTGATGCTTCCCAGGTCAGTTTATTTCTGCTTTCCTGAGTGAGAGTGGCAGCCTTCCAGAGAGAAAACTGTCCCCTCACCCTGAAACATCCATCCATGAGCCAAGAGGCTCCTTGTTGTTCAATAAAAGTTTTTCATAGGGCACTTCCCAAGTGGACCAAATGGCCACAGAATCCAGAAACTTCTCAGGTGATTCCAAAGGCAGCCCCAGGGAAAAAGACCTCAGGCCTGCCTCCTTGCTCTCCCTGGGCATCTTTCTGGGTAAACTGTTTCCATTTTATTATGGACTCATCCAGGCAGGCGCCACCTTCATCTGAGCATTTTC